AATTAGATCTATTAAGTTTATGTTCCGTAATTTTTGATATCATAGGAAACACATCAGATACAACAACAGAAGTCTCATCCTCCATTTATCAAATATCAAGCAAATAGCAAAGCAAAAATACAACGTCGAAATACTTGAAGAATCCGAACCTGAGTAAATATCACCTTGAAACTGAAAATGAGTAGAGACCGGAAACTTCAAACAATGAAGTTGAAGCCCACAACTTTAACCAAAAGCCCAAAAATCTGTGATGCCAAACCACAAAACTCCAGAAACTCCAAAAAAACTCCAAATAGTGACACGAGAAACCACAAAACTCCAGAACTCCACTGAAAACCGGCAAGAGAGGACTGAACGGCGATTGGCAAAGGCTAACCGGCGATGGGCGACTTCCCCGGTGCAAGCGGCGTGCACTGGAATCGCCGGAAGAAAGAGAACAGACGCCCAAATGCACTGGCCAGACGGCGAGAGAAGACCGAATCGGTAAAGGGCGAAGGCTTGCTGGCGATGGACGACTCCCCTGGTGCAAGCGGCGCGATTGGAACGCCCGAAAAAGTGAAAAAAACCTAGGGCGAGTAGAAACCCTAGCGCGAACAGAAACCCTGGCGTGAACTGGAGGTCAGACTGTGTCGATTGAAATTAGTAGCTCGTCGGAGACGAAGAGAAACCTAACCTTGTTGTAGCTCTGATACCATGTAATAATTCAAGGTATTTCTCTTGTATTATTCATGGAAATATTGGGTGTATATATACAAATACCTGATACTATATTAGGATTGAAATTAGGTCTAAAACTTATTTACTTTACTATTCTAGAAATAGTTTCTAACAGTAATTAAGGTTTTTTTAATAGATTTTCTAGTATTTTATTAGTTAAATTATTTAATCTTGTTCTTGTTCGATTGTATTCTACGTCATCACATCTGTAGTGCCGCAAATCGACAAGTATAACTACAACCCAAATTCACGATGATATCCTCAAACCACAGCTTTGCTTGCTTCATCAAATCTAAATGTACAATATTTCAACTTATCACCTGACAAAAGCATTGTGCTTTATTCATCTTCTAGTATAAAAAAGTGAATGTTTAGGATGTGGGATATAAGCATAATTTTCATCATTTTCAAGCCAGCTATAAGTTCAAGATAAAATACACAATATGACGGCAACATGCAAGTTAATTTTGGCATGCACCAAAACATGTAATGAAATAAGTTCTTGCTTAATATACCCTTGCCAGCCAACCCACATATCACTTGATAGTTAAAATCCAAATTCCAACATACCAAATGCAAACCACAGGTTGAATGAATAGTTAAATTGAGACCAAGAGAGAACCCCATGCATGATGCATCAATGCACTTACAAATTGAAACATAGATCAGCCCGTCTAAAGTTAAACCATACAGCAAAAATTACTGTTCTTATCTTATTTCTAGTATGAGAGTATTTCATACTTTTCATCTGCTTTTTGAGGAGTAAAAAAGCAACAAAACAATCAAATGGTAGTCCTAAAATTCTCAATTTGTCACCTGAGAGGACCACAAGATTGAAGCCCCTTTCCCCACAAAATGAAATACAGAGCTGTTATACCACCATTTATCACAGAAGGTACTACCTGTAAGAATAAGATGCTAAACAACATAAGACCAAGAAATTTTACATTCCTGTCTTGGATTCTTTTGAAGAGGAAAAATTTATATAAAATGAAAAATGGAATAATCCATCAAGACCTGAGTATTAGAAAGCGGTCTGCCCTTCCAGGGCTTTTGTAAAACTAGAAATAGAATGGATGAAGGTACAAGACAGCTGAAGATAAACAATAAAACTGAAGCCCCCGTCTGAGTCAAATAGCGGTACATAGAGTAGATTGACCATACTCTCATGAAGTTACCAATTATATGTATTATCTGCAAGGGGGTTCTCCTACATTCAAACAACATTATAAAATCAATCAACAAAGACTAGGTAAAAGAAATAAACTTGGGTGCTTCTGATGATAAGTTTGGACATATTTACAGAGATTATTCATCTGTACTATATATCACTGTTTTGTGTAATTGGAGACAACTTTAGGGGAGAATTTAGCCTTGCATTCAATCTCTTAATGACTATCAATTTCCATCACCCACTTCAAAACAACTCACCCCACCACATTAAGAAATCTAAAAAACAATATACATTTTTTTTATCCATATTGTTTCTAAAACTGTCATGTTAATAGTAAAAACTATGTTTCTAAATACAAATATCTAAAGACATCATTTTCAATTTGCACATTCATCAGCATTCCATACTGTAGCTAGTCTCTTACAATTCATAGACTTAATAATTGACATGTGTGCCTCATGCACTCTCCACACCCACCCAGTTAATTGACTATCCATATCTACATGGCAGACTTACCGAGCACATAGGGCTAATTTTAGTCAATAGAAACTGAGAATATCTTTATATGTCTGCCATTGTCTCTCATTCTTAATAGATTCAGCAGCAAAATGTCCCTCCAGGACTTTCAATAATCAAACCACCCACTCAAAACTGACAACCCGTTTACAGAATTAAAGAATCAGAAAACTAAATCAAAGTTGTTCATAAACTTTTGTCTACAAATTGTAAACACCTCATGTAATTCCTAACTTTAACAAGTGTGCACACCAATGGATCTGGAAACCATTATTTAGGCCAATAAATTTACATTTCACTAGGTCCCTTATTTACTTCCAAAATGAGAAGTGGGTTTTCAATTTTTCATAGTTCAGTGAAACTGAAAAATCTTGAAATCAATCACTTTAATCAGATAAAACCCACAAAAAATACAATGATGCAGCGTAAATGATAATATAATCATAAAGAATATAACTAAAAAACATATTCTCTGTAAACAAAAAGCCACGAATGTAACTGTACTCACCTGATAGTGGCGGAATGAGAACTCCCCCGAGTTTCGGGAAATTGATTTGGGGACATCATTTTTATCCACTTTTATTTTTATTTTTTATTATATTCTAAGAACAGTAAAAACATGAAATAACAAGTTTGATCACTGTAAAACTATTTTTCACTGGAAAATGGGGATTGAAGAAGGAAACAAAATGCAAGTCAATTAGAGAAAAAAAAAATTCATTTGCTTGGAGGAGGAGAAATGTAGAACTGAATCCCTCGAGGAACAGAAGAAGAAGAAGAAAAAGAACGTATTGGGCTCTAATCGGGTGGGTTTGAGTTGGATCTATAATTGGGTTTAAATTGGATTGGATTAAAGTCTTGGGCCTTGCGGTCAAAGGTATTGGTAACCGTTGTGGTCAATGGGATAGGCTTGGTGGTGGAGTTCGACCGGAGATAGCTCCTCCTCTTTTTGGTGGCCGTTGTGGTCACCTTTTTAGTGGAGGTGGTGGTCTGCGTTTGGTTTCGGCCGTGGTTTTTTCAGATGTAATTTTTCAAAGACAATACGATTGATTTTAAAAAATTCATTTACCATCGCAATGAAGTAGTTATTTTATATTTCAAATACAATTTAAATTGAGAAATAAAGAAGATTTAGAGCAGAGGATGACGATCCTAGATTATCCATAGTAACACAATATGTTATATATAACTAATCAAAGACAAATCAGCTTGAAGTTGTACGATTGTTTGTAGTGGTGAAAAAAGAGTGGATTCAACACGATTTGGATAGGGTTCTAAATCCATCGAGGTTTCATCAGATGTGAAAAATCATGTAACAAATCTCTAATAGTGCAACATAATACATTACAGATGTTTCAAAAAATAAAAATTGGAGCAACAGTAAGACCCTGTTTGATGCACATTATTGAGTGGAGAATACATTTTAAATAGTGATTTGATGAAAAATATATGGTCAAAAAATAAGAAAATTTTTTGGATTTGAGTGCAATATTATTTTATTGAAAAATATATAGTTCAAAATGATTTTTTTTTTAAATGTGGATCAAACATTGTGTAATTTTCGAAGAGGAAATTACATTGAGGTAGGTGTTTAAAGTTTCAAATTCAAAAATTAGG